GATGTTTGTCTTCAACAAATGCCCGGTTTTAGAGCCATGGATGCTCACTTATTCCGGTTGAATTATGTTACTGTTTTTCTCTAGATTGCTTGTCCGCTGGACGTTATTGTCGACCACGATTTCTCTTGCATCTCTACTTTTCTCTCTACAATTCAAGATGTTCCATCTTGAGGGTGGAGTGTTGGAATATTCCAACATTAGATCCTTCTTCTAGATCCTTATCTTATTTGTTATTAGATACTTCTTCTAGATTTTTCTCTTATTTGTTATGTAGTTAGTTTGTTAGAAATTTACTCTATAAATAGAGCAATATATTCACAATATCACTTGAGCTTGATGATTAATAAAGTGTTCTTCTTCTCAAGTTCCTTCAATATGTTTTCATATTGAATCTATCTTTTAATTTCTTTACAAGAAATGAAGAAATCCAATTAGAAAAGCTACTACAAAATAAATTGGAATAAATAAAATCAAACTAAAAGAAAGATTGTGAACAAACATAAATTGTATGCCATCAGCACCCAAAGAGCAAGAAGAAGTATAGATCTGCTGGGAAAAATTACCAACACAGGGTATGCACTCCTGGAAACTATTTCTAAAAGGATATAGATCTGCTGGGACAAATTACCAACATATGGGTATGCACTCCAGGAAACCATTTCTAATAGGTTTTATACTCAACATAATTCATCAATGCCTTATCCCATATTTACCTAGGATCAAGTACAAGTATGAAGATTTCAACAGTGAAATAATAAAGGCTCGAATCATGGTAATGTTCAACTCTGACTCAATATTCACTATACAATGTCATTATAGTCCCTACAAAGAGTCGTCCTTTTGCAGAACAACTTGGAACTAAGCAGGCTTCACTGTCACCAATATTGACACTAAATAAAATTAGCTATAGGCAGATTAAATCTAAATACTATTACTCACAATGGAATGAAGAAGCTTGTGATAAATAGCAGAATGAAACTTTCCCCCATTACCCACTTTGACAAACTCCATTATTGTCTCCAGAACAACTTCCTGTTAAAAATATCATCATGGTTACAATTTTAGAAGTGAGAGCTCATAGGTTGAACACATTGAAGCCATTTAGAAAGAACAAGGAAACGGTAGAAAATTTGAAGAAAGCAAAAACATCTATTAGTTCCATACACGAAGAGTATCCTCAGATTGGGAGGAAATAGCAACTTCAATGAGGAGCTTCACGAGATCGTCGAACTTGGAGCGAAGCCACGTGCGGTAGATGAATTCAGGGTCCGGATTTGAGTCATTGGACGTCTTGGAGAAAGCAGACGAAGGGAGTTCAGGGAGTAGAGGGGTGAAAAAAGACTGCAAGGAGAGGAGAGATTCGAGAGCGTAGTGTGGAGGAGAAGACGGGCTGATGAAAGAGAGGAGAATCGGTAGATTGTTAACGTGAGCTCTCGAGGAGAGGAGCTGTTGGCCCAGAGTTTTCAGGTCGGAGAGACTGTATCTGCCACCTCTCTTCTGCTTCTTACGCGATAATCCATCGGAAGCAGCCATGGCAAGCAGTACTATGCGCTGCTTTGTTGATGAAGACGATGCGGGGTTTAATGTAATTAGGGTTTAACGTCAGAAGGGACCGGAAGAAAATTTAGGGATAATTGCAGTAAAAGCTCCAAAACTTTGAAATATTAGCAGATTTTTTCCAAATGTTTGATTTATTGCAACCGTCACCCCTAACATTTTCAAATATTGCAGGTCAGACCCTCTTGGATGGTTTCCGTCAATAATTCTGTCAGTTAACCAAAAATTTAATTTTGACCACATTTTTAATATTTTAAAAAGGTGCAAAAGAGTAAATTTACATATATCACATTAAATAATTAAATTAAAAAAAAACTCACCCAGTGTCTTCATCATCTACCTCCAACCACTGGTGGAAGTACAATGACCGTCGGTCAAATTAACCCTAATGTATATATTCGTTCCCGCCCAAACGAACCTCCACTCTATCTTTCGAAAATTGCATTCAGTATCTTTCAGCTGACCAATTTCATAATTTCGGTCAACCAAACATGATCTGCCGAAACAAACTGAGGGGCTCAAAATAAAGTTTCCCATATTTTCTGTCAGCACTACGAATTTCAATCGACCAAAGGAAATGAGCTGAAATTTCTCAAAGACCGAAATTTCTTGACCGAAATTCCCAGAGTCGATCATTTTTTTCTTCTTTTTTGTTGTTTTGTCTTCACACCAAAATTCTTCTTTTAACTTCATCCTCAATTTTTTCAGTCCTAATGTGCGATTTTTCTCGTCTCTCTCTTCAAATCTCACAATTTTCATCTTACACACCAAAATCTCTTCAAATTTTCACCAAGTCTATCACTTTTTCTCATCCAATCTCTAGTTTTTCTTCTATTTTTTATCAAGAAAATTCCGAATTTGGGTTTTTTAGTTCATCACTCAAAAATCTTGATTTCTTTTCAAAAACTTCATTGCAAGTTGTTTTTAAGCATTAATCCACTTCAAAAGCTTGTTACCCACTCTTTTCCCATCATTTCTCACTAGTTTTCTCAACAAATTTTGAATAATCAAAAATTTCTCTCACTAAAAATCAAAAAGTTCTGAAAATAGCCATGCCTCCAAGGAAGAAATCAAAGAAATGGGAAGCAAGCTCGTCAAATGTTGAAGATGACACACGCATGCCCAATTGTTTCACATATTGTCTCATTCTAATCGGTAAGTCAATTGATTTCTTTAAATTCTCTACCAAAGCTCCTTCACTTAGGATAGATGATTATTTTGAGAATATTTGGTGGACAAATGTGGACATTATCTCGAAAAATATCTATTCTAATTTAATTCGTGAATTTTATCGAGATCTCTCATATTACTTACTCCATGTCACTTGCACTGTTAAAGAGAAACGAATTACACTCGATAGTTATATCATTAGAGAAATACATGGGTTAGGGGAATGTGAAAACCTTACTTATATTCATCAGTATCCCGTATCCAAACTCCCGATACACGAACTCAAAGCTTGTTGTCGAGTCACCGATCGACCACTATCCACCACAATGACCTTAAACCTACATCACCTTACTATACCATGCAAAATTCTTCATTGTGCTATTGCTCATATTATAGTCCTTCGGAGTGGACATTTTGAAGAGGTTCATCACCTCAACTTGTTCATTCTTGACTTCTTTCTTGTTGGTCGTCAATTGGACTTTCCCTACCAAGCACATTCGACATATCCACAAGTCTCCTAGAGCCATAGGCTTACCTTATGGCATGCTTCTTACAAGAATCTTTCAATATTTCAATGTGTCATTAGACGGTGAGCCTTTTCTTAAGCTCAAACACACTAATGTCATTAATCTCAACACCCCGCATGAAAATCGTTAAAGGCAATGGGCAATGAATGTGTTATACTCAAGGTTTCGACAATAACTTGGAGCATACTACTTGGCCATTCACTTTAGAAGAGGCGGAAGAAGAAATTGGTGGTGATGGTGATGAAGGTGATGATTTTCCTCGAGCACAACCTAGGGGTCCTATTCCACAAGTAGCACCAACCCCCGGCCAATATATGACTGAAGATAATTTCAACATCCTATAAGGCCGGATTGATTCTCTTACTACTACCGTCAAT